TACAGTCCTGGGAATTCTCTCACTTGTCTCCATATTAAAATGAGAAAAATGTGATCCTCTGATCGTCTGTCCTTTGCTTGTTACCTGGTATCTGTTTTGTCTTGAAAAGTCTTTGGGGCTTCAATGGTCTCAGGAAATCTTGGATCTCCCATTGTCCAGAACTGATACTATAATCTGCCTTGGGTAAGGGAGACAGGAGGAGGAGAATGAGAGTCTGTTCCAAATAGATTTTCATCTAATCTCCCCAAGGTGGACAAATAAGCAAAGAGCCATGAACAGAATTAGGAACTTCACATTGGTCCCCAGCTGAGAAAATGCTAGTAGGACCAAGAAATGTTTGTTTTGTTTTGTTTATTTATTTTTAATTTTACTAGTGCATGTGTTCAGTTTGTGCAATTTGTTTGGTTGTAAAATGAACAAGTTTTTTCTGGCTTATGGGATCTCTAGCCCGTATTTGTCTAGCCACAAACTTCCTCATATCTTTTCTAACTTTGTATATCCAACCTAAATTGCATGATCCCTTATTTTACCCATTGTCTTCCCAATATGTTGAACTCCCTGGTCCTACTGTCCTTCCACCACCCAGCCAGCCAAACCCCCATCCAACTGGCTCCTCTTTGTCTCACCAAGTTCACCAGGTGGATGATACTAGGAAAAACCATCCACTGAAGCCAGGTGTGATGGTGCATACCACTAATCCCAGCATTCTGGGAGGCTGAGGTAAGAGGATCAAAAGTTCTAGCCTGTTCTATTTAGGAAACTTAACAACTTGGCAAGACTCTGTCTTAGAATAAAGAAATAAAAAAGGGCTGGTGATATAGCTCAGTTCTGTCTTTTGTGCTGAAATATAAAAAATAATACAGCAACATAAAATTTCAAACCTGTATCATTATAAATTTGTGCTCTATGTACTTCTTCCAGTTAAACACAGCAGATTACATATATAACATCTGCCACCACTCTTTCTAAAAGCTCACAAAGATTACACCAGCAAGAGTTTAGATCCAGAAAAATAAGGTAAATGAGAAAAGAGATAAGAGGCGAGAGAGCTGTTAGTCATCATTGAAGACAGAAGGCGGCGGCAAAGTGGTACTTGGTTTGGTCCACAGCAGGAAGTCAAGGCTGGTACAGTGTATCTGCAGGGGCCCAGTGGGAGAAAAGCTAGTGCTTTGAGAAGAAGGCTAGAAGGATCAGGAAAGAGAGCACTAGCTCTGTTGGAAAGTAGAAGCAGGACACAGTTAAACAAAAGGATATGACGTAAGGCAACAGAGCACGACGGTTAGAGGCCTCAGAGCCAGACACACTTGTGTCTCAGCCCAGCTCTGCTATGTACTAACTGTGGGACTCGTACAGAGTACATGGTATCTCTCTGGAAGTCAGTTTCCTTCTTTAAGTGCTAGTAGGAAGTTGACCCTAAACAGCTGTGAAGATTAGCATAGTGTCCTCTAAGTACAGAAGGTGTCGTATGGTAAGGACTGAAGTGGGACTCATTTTTTGTTTGTTTTTACAATGCCAGAGATGGAACCCACTAGCCTCACACTAGCAAGGCAAGCTTTTTACCACTAAGCTGCATCCCAGCCCATAGGGCCTATTTATATTTATATTTTTGTGGTGGTGGGGATTGAACCTGGGGCCTTTGCACTGAGTTACATCTCCAGATCTTTTAAAATTTTGATGCAGGGTCTCACTAAGTCTCTAAATTGCCTTTCCTGGGCTCTATCTCACACTCCTCTTGCCTCAGGCTCCTGGAGTGCTAGGATTACAGTCTTTTTTTTTTTATTTAAAGATAGAAAAAAACCCAAAACAAAGCAGTAAAAGGGTACAAATAATACAGAATTTCAAGAAAAAAAGATACAGTAAGAAATCACCAGTTAACAGATCACACATTGTCATCTCAGAAACAGTTGTCCAAATTATAAAATTAAAGCATACAAAGTGGACTTCATACAGTGAGATTGCAGACAGTTCTGTTTAATGATCCAACAAAAACTTGGTAATATGGTTTTCTATAGGGTTACAGTCTTGTTCCATCATACCTGATTTATTTTTATGTTTTTCATATACTGTGGACTGAACCCCAGGATACTCTCCCACTGAGCTATCTTACCACCCATTTTTATTTTGAGACAGGGCTGGCCTTGAACTCACTAAGTTGCTCAGGATGGCCTTGAACTCCGGTCTCAGTCTCTGAATAGCTAAGATTACACACACATGCCACCAGGCCTGGCTCCCCATGGGCGAATCTGTATTGGCCTCTTGACCTCTACCATCATCAGGGGCACTGCCCTGATTGCTTGGGAAGGACTGGCTTCATTCTCAAGGCCTGGGCTGGTGCTGCAGTTCTCCTCAATCCCACCAGGCTTCCTTCAGCTGTCTTTCCTCCTAGCATGAGTCCCAGTAGCTGTAGCTGTTGCCAGTGGACTGTGTTTGTGCAGCCCACCTGTTCTGGGTCTCTCCTCTTGGACAGAGTCCTCCAGACCTGGTGTTTTCCTGTCAGTCCCCACCATCCCTGCTGATGGGTGGAACCCATCCCAAAGCTCAGCTACCCCCGAGTCTCACATTCGTGTTCCCTTCGTGTCTCAACAGAACTCTAGGCCTGACTTTCCCCTGTGACTATCTATAGTCCCAGAAAGCCTCCACTTGGACAAATATTTCCAAGAAATCACTGTTTCATTTTCCATCTAGTTTTTCCTTTCTGGATTCGTATTTTAGGCATACTGTTTTCCCAGTCACCCAGGCACAAAACTCCAGTGTCACTGTTGACTCTTTTCTTCTCTTTCAACATAGATTCTAAAATATGCCCATGCACTGGGTCTGGTGGCACATGCCTGTAATCCCAGCACTTAGGAGGCTGAGGTGGGAGGATTGCTGCAAGTTTGAGACCAGCCGGGGGAACACAGTGAGTTTAAGGCCAGCCTGAACTTCATAGGAAGACCCTGTCTCTTAAAACAAACAAACAAACAAAAAAACCACCTTAAATGCAATTCAGAGAACTACCTAGCCTGTAGTTGCAGGTTCTTCTGTGTGCTATCCTACCCACCCTACCCTCATGCAAGTGTGGATCATCTCTTCCTGTTAATTCTCCTGCATCCTGCTACTATAAAGCAGTCCTCTGAAAGTACCCATTTGATCACATTATTCCTTGACACAGAATCTTCTTGGTGACTTCCCATTTTCTGTAGGTTAAAATTTAGATTCCTTAGCCTGGCTGGCATGTAAGACTCACCACAGTCTCAGGCAGCTCTGCCCACTCTGCAAGGGCTCCCATAGTCCTGCCAGTGGCACCTTCATTGACCCCAGGACCAGCTTTCCTCTCTTGCCCTGAAAGGTTACAGCAGACTGATCCCTACCCTGCATGCTTTTTTCTCCCTTTCATCTGTTCTATTTCTCTTGCTTGCTCTTGAGACTCTGCTTCCATCCTGCTGTGGGTCTTCCTCTTCAGTTTCCTAGCTTAGCTGAATTTTGAGGATACAGGGTGTGAATTCAGACCTGCCCTGGCCTGTAACTGCCGTGCATGACCTGTATCCTCAAGAGACAAGAGTACTTGGTACCAGCCTAGATGGCCCAGGATTTGTGTAATAAAATCCATCCTCCATCTGATTCTTTCCTTCCTCCTCTAGGAGAGGGCCTTAGAAATCAGGACAGTTGGGCTGGGGATTTAGCTTAGCAGCATAAGTGCCTGCCTTGCAAGTGTGCAGTCGTGAGTTTGCTCCCCAGTACTAAAAAAAAAAATCAGGACAGTTGTGAAGACTTTGGGTTGGGGTACAAAAGATATTGCCCTCTAAGGACTGCTTAAGTTGTTTTATCTGAGTCAGGCTCCCTCCCCCAGTATCCTGGGCAAGCTGCTGGACCTTGTCCTCCAGATGTCTCCCGTGCCCCACTCTGGGTGCCAGCATTCACATTGGTAGCCCCTCTTCTGTGCTGCACACAGGCCCCCTCCCCGTCTTGACCTTGAGGTTAATGTGCTACCTGCCCTTTTTTTTGCCTTTCTTTTGTTCCCTTCTCTTCTTCTGTCAGCTAATGATTACTCTGGGAACTTAACCTACTATCCCTGTCTCAAGTCTGTGAAAGTTCTCTTTTGGGGGCAAGGGTCATGGGTGTTATGCCACGGCCATGTGACAGCTGGCTTTTCCTCACTCCCTCGGCTGTCTGGGTCCTTGTGGTCTGGGAAGCTCATTGTGTACCTTGCCTGAACAGAAACCTGATCCTATAGGTAAGCTTTTCCTCGCTGCCTCAGGAGGACAGTGGCCACTCAGTCCACCTGCTTGGCATTAGCTGCCTTTTCTCTCCTGGCTATTTCTACTGGTTTCCCTCTGGATGTTGTCCCTTGCCCTTATCTGTGCACTGAAGGGCAGGACTCAGCTGCAGGCTCTGGGCCCTCTGGCTGGTTGGGGTGGAAGGTGTTCTTGTTTAGGTACAGCCTGAGTAGGAAGTGTCTCTGCTCTACAGATTTTATCCTAATGGCTGACTCAGAACCACTGCCCTCCCTCGATGGGGACCCAAAGGCTGCAGAGGCCTGGCTTCGAGATGTGTTTGAGATCATTATGGATGAGGCTATTCATAAAGGGACTAGGACCTCTGAGAAGGTATGTCCTTGCTCCCTCCACCTGCACACCAAACCTTCCCTTTTTCTTGAAATCCTGGCTTAGAACTTTTCTCCTTTGATGTGCTGTTCCCTAGAATTCATCCCTGTCCCTGTGTGTTTCAGGAATTTGTATCCTGTCTTACACTTTTTACCTTCTTTTTTTTTTTTGTCTTTTTCATTTTTTATCGGTACCAGGGATCGAACTCACGACCGCCTGCTTGCAAGGCAGGTACTTATGCCGCTGAGCTAAATCCCCAGCCCCTTACCTTCTTGTAATGCATCACTTCCATAATGTTCTTGAATTGTTAGAAGTACAAGTTGGTGATGTCTTGAGCTGTAATTGGGGCAACCATTCCATAAGGTGTGATGTTCCTGAATCCCTGGCTTTTTCTCCTAGGTCTGTGAGTGGAAGGAACCTGAGGAGCTGAAGCAGTTGCTGAGTTTGGAGCTGCAGACCCATGGCGAGGCACAGAAGCAGATCCTGGAACACTGCCGGGCTGTGATTCATTACAGCGTCAAGACTGGTGCACTGTGGGTTCTGGTGGGTGGATTCTGGTGTTTGCACCTGGCTCCAAGCTGAGTTCTCTTTTCCCCTTCCCCTTCTCCAGGTCACCCCCGGTTCTTCAACCAGCTCTTCTCAGGGTTGGACCCCCATGCTCTGGCCGGGCGCATTATTACTGAGAGCCTCAACACCAGCCAGTGAGCCACCCCAAAACTCCTCCTTCCATCCCGCAGAGGACTTAGGTTTGCTGGGAGGTGGCTCAGGGGTAGGAGAGGAGATTGGTTTTTGCCCCTGTTGTTTTCTGGGAATGTCTGCTGGCAGTATTTTCTGTTCTGTCCTTTGAGCTTCCATTCTTCAAGTTTCTGTGGCCTCCTGAGCCTGGGTTTTTCTCATCTGTGCTTGCCACTGCCTCTTTCTGCTTCTCCTCCTCTTTTTTTTTTCCCTCCAAAAAATTTCCTCTGTTGGCCTAGAAGAATCTATCTCCCACCCACCCTATTAGTCTGTTCCCACAGTCAGCTCATGAGTTGTTTCTCCTCTGCCATGTACCTCTTCCATGCCAACCTATGCAGTGAAATGTAAGATGAAATAAAGCTTTCATCTCTGAAAAGAAAAATTTCCTCTGTATTCTCAAAAAAGTGATTTCCTTCCTGCAGGCTTGAAATCCAGCAAGTCACAATCCTCTTTGCCCAGCCTTATAATCTGTGGGTTTGTGAGGTGACCCCTGCTCCAGAGGCCACTCCGTCTATAAACCCCAGACTGTGGCCAGCTTCCCAAGTCCAGAGCAGGTTCCGGCTCATGTTGGTAAATGGAGAAGCAGTCAGACCACTGGTCTCTGCTGGATGTAGGCAGCGGGGCAGAGGCTCAATGCCGTCATCTTCAGATCCAGCCACCTCTAAAAGCCACACCTGCTGGCCTGGCCTCCCGGCACAGAGCGCACTTGCCTGCTTCTTTGTCACCAGCTAATTCTCGGCTGGGACCCTTCCTTCATTTTTCAGTGTCTCCCCTTTCTGACTCCTGTAGTTGAAGGGCCTGGCTTGGAAGTCACTCGTGTCTCTTTGCCTTTCTCATCGGTGCTCTTCTGGCAGGTACACATATGAGATCGCCCCTGTGTTTGTACTCATGGAAGAGGAGGTGCTGAAGAAACTCCGGGCCCTGGTGGGCTGGAGCTCTGGGGATGGGGTCTTCTGCCCTGGTATGTGAGAAGGAAGGGGCCTCTCTTAGGCCTTCTCAGGGCTCCTCCTCCCCATGGTTCTTTTGCTCTAAGCAGTGGGCAGGGAGTGGTGATTTCTCTCTTTCCATGGGCCCAGGGCCAGACCACAGAGCAGGCCACCCAGTCCCCTTTATCCTTGTATTTGCCAACAGCCACTGGCATGTGTGGTTGAATGCCTTCTCTCAGGGTGGGAGGCATCTCTTGGGACAATACTGTGGTGGTCAGGAGGACCTGCTGATCTTGGGCCATTGTGGGTTCCTGTGCATTTGTATAACCCTGAGATTCACAACGGGGGAGCCAGTCACCCTGCTGCTTTAATCGATGTGTGAGCCCCAGTCCTGATTCGTAAATGCTCCCTTTTGCCATCCTTCCCCGTGACAGGTGGCTCCATTTCTAACATGTATGCAATGAACCTGGCCCGCTATCAGCGCTACCCAGACTGCAAGCAGAAGGGCCTCCGGGCACTGCCACCCTTGGCCATCTTCGCATCAAAGGAGGTGGGGAAGAGAGAGGTGCAACCCCAGGCTCCTGATTCTAATCATGAGGCAGCTCAGTCAGAGACCCTTCAGAGCTTCCTCCTGCCCCTTTCCACATCCCTAAGTAGATGCGTTTCTTTGCAGTCAGGGAGCCCATGCACACACTGTCTTTTTGCCTTCCAGGTGGGGGAGGGCAGGGGATTCAGAGTGTGGTCTCTGCCCATTGCATCAGTGCTGCCTGGGAGCATCTAAGAGACGCGGAATCTCAGGCTCATCAGAACTGAGTGTGCCTGTGCGTGTTAGTTAGCCTCGCAGGCACTTTCTGCACATGCACATTTAAGAAGGCCTGGCCTGCAGGTCCTGTCTACTGCAGCTCACACTTAACCTTTACCAGTCTGTCTTCTCCTTGTTGCCTTCTTGCCCCTGGCCTGGGTCTTGCTAACTTGCCCTCTGTATTCTTCCACAGTGTCACTACTCTGTCAACAAAGGAGCTGCTTTTCTGGGATTTGGCACTGACAGTGTCAGAGTGGTCGAGTCTGACGAGAGGTGAAAGTCCTTCTGCCAACATGACCCTGACCTTGGCACAGTATACCTTCCGCTGCTGAGAGGATGCCTCAGGCCAGGCGTCCTTGTGACCTTTTCTTCCTGCAGAATTGCCACTCCTGTCTCCCAGTGCCTGACAGTCGCCCACTACCCTAGTGCCCTGAGATCTATTGCATTCCTCTTAGCAGCCATCAGCATAAAGGCTGTGCATTGCTGGCCTCCCACTGCCCTGCCTTCCTCAGGGTGATGCTTGGTACGCAGGGTGCCTGTGTCTTCTCTGCTCACTCAGTTTTCTTTTTCAGAGGAAAAATGATCCCTGGCGACCTGGAAAGGCAGATCAAGCTGGCAGAAGCTGAGGTAAGTGAGCAAGGGGCAGCGGGATGAAGTGGGACCCCTGGAGTGCTGTTTGGGCTCTCCTGTCTGTCTTGCAGTGGCCTGAAGCTTGGCTTCAGCCATCTGGGAAGGTGGTTTAGCACTATCTGTACTTAACTTTTGGTGGTGTTGTTGAGAATTGAACCCAGGACCTTGCATGTACTGGGCAAGCTCTCTGCCACTGAACCACATTCCCAGCCCCTCTATACTTTTTAAAATTTTTTCTTTGTACTAGGGATTGACCCAGGGCTTTTCTACATCCCCAGCCCTTTTTAATTTTAATTTTCATTCATCTATCTATCTAGGGCTTTTTTTTTTTTTTTTTTTTTGAGACAAGGACTCTGTGTAGCCCAGGCTGGCCTTAAACATATGCAGTCCTCTTGCCTCAGCCTCTCAAGTGCTGGAATTACAAGCAGATGGCACAACCCATGGTTTATACAGTTCTTAAATACATATATACCGATTCAGAGTTCCACTACTTAGAATTTATGCTATAAACCATCTTCACACATCTGTAGAATTCTGTGCATGAGAATGTTTCCTGGAACAAAGTCTAAATTTTTTTTTTTGACTTTTTGCTTTTTATCGGTACCAGGGATCGAACTCACAACTGCCTGCTTACAAGGCAGGCGCTTATGCCGCTCAGCTAAATCCCCAGCCCCAAACCCCAAAGTCTAAATTTTTAAAAAATTTAAATGTTCAACAGCAGATAAAATGAATTATGGTATATCTGTTTCAGTTTCTTTCTCTGTAAAATAAACATATGTAGAGTTTAAAGAATTAAAATAAATTCATATATAAAACCCTGAGAGCCGGGCATGATGGTGCGCACTGTAATCCCAGCGCTTGGCGCCTGAGGCAGGAGTGAGGCCAGCCTGGGTTACAAAGTAAGTTCAAGGCCAGCCTGAACTGCATTGTAAAGCCCTGTCCCAAAACCAAAGGTTATAATAATAATAATAATAATAATAATAATAGCCCTTAGAACATTGCCTGACATGTAAATGCTCTGTATAAACATGAGCTGCCATGTGCCACCATCTATTAAGTACTATGTAGCCATTTAAAAGAATAAGACAAGATATATATATATATATATATATATTTGAATATGAAAATTTCTCTAATATATATCAAATATATATTGCAATTTGCAGTGTAGAATGGATACTATGAGCCTATTTTGTTTTGTTTTTTTGTACTTCAAATCAAACTCAAGACCTTGCACTTAGCAGACAGGTGCCATACCTATATCCCACTGAGATATATATATTTGGTACCAGGAATTGAACTCATGATCTTGCGCTTACTAGTCAGGTGCTGTACTCTGAACTATATCCCTGGCTTCTCCTATTTGTTTTGTTCTTTTTCCTTTTCCTCACTGTAGTTCAGGCCTGTCTTGAACTCATTATGTAACTCTGGCTGGCACCAAACTCACAGTGATCCTCCTGCCTCAGCCTCCTGAGTACCAGGATTACAGGCGTGTACCACTAACGCTCAACCTCTTGTTTTGTTATTTAGCACAGCATGCATTTATTGAAATATGGCTACTACCTCTAGGTGGCAGTACTGATAGCAATTAGAAGAGTGGAGCTCTGCTATTTTTGTTTTGTTTTGCTCTTTTTGTGGGATACTGGGACTCAAACTCATGACCTTGCACTTGGCAGGCAGTGCTGTGCCAGTGCGCTGTATCCCTGGTTCCTTGTTTTACTTTTGAGACAGGGTCTGGCTGTTTAGTTCTGGCCTTAAACTTACTGTGTAGCCAAGCTGGCCTCAAGCTACAGTGATCCTCCTGCATCAGCCTCCTGAGTGCTGGGATTACAGGTGTGCACTTCCTTGCCCAGCTTGCCCATTTTTATTATATAAACTTATTTGTAGTTTTGTGGTACTGTAGATTGAAAACAGAGTCTTCACATGAGCTGCATCCCCTGCTTTTTAAAAATTTTGATATACTGAGTCACTAAAATACTGGGCATGAATTCATTTTCCTCAACCCTGCAGAGTTCTGGAATTATAGGCATATGCTACCATGCCTTGCTTGAACTTCTTTGGTAATAGTTATATTATTGAGATATAATTTATGTAACAAAAAATGTGGTACCACTGTGTTTTTGTAGCATATTTACAGAGTTGTACCATCATCACTATAATTATTATTAGAACATTTTCATCATCCCCCAAAGAAATGCCATATCTGGTAGCCACCACTCCTGTTCTCACTCACTGACCTCTCAGTTGGAGGCGACTGGTAATTCTTTTAATGTCTCTAGGTTTGCCTGGTCTGGAATCTGGAATCACACCATACATGGCCTTTTATGAAAGGCTTTTTTGTTTTTTTGAAACAGGGTCTTACTATGTAGTTTAGGATGTCCTTGAACTCACTTTGTACCTAGGCTGGCCCAATCTCACAGTAATCCTCCAGCCTCAGCCTCCTGAGTGCTGGAATTACAGGTGTGTGCCACCATGCCTGGTTTGTGATAAGCTTTTTTATTTAATATAATGTCTGCAAGGTTCGTCCATGTTGCCACCATACCACTTTGTTCTTTTTTCATGGTTGAATAACACTCTACTTTATGAATGTACCCGATCATTAGTCAGGGGACATTTGCTTTCTTTCCACTTCTTGCTTATCGTGGATAAACTGATGTGAATACTTGTTTACAGGCTTTTATGTGAACATGTTTTTCATTTCTCTTGATCATATACTGGTAGTGGAATTGCTAGGTGATATGTTACTCTATATGCAACCTTTGTGGAACTTCTAAATTGCTTTTCAAGGTGACTTCACCAGGTTTACTTATTTATTTTGGTACTGGGGATTGAACTCACGACCTCTCACTTGAGAGGCAGGCACTTAGCCACTGAGCTAAATCCCTGGCCCATGTTTTTTGCTTTTTGAGACCAGATCTTGCTATGTAATTCAGCTGATTCTTAAGTAAAGGAGCTAAGTTAGTCAGTATCCTAATTCTTTTTGTTGTTGTTGTTTTTGTGGTACCCAGGATTGAACTCTCGACCTCTTGCTTGCCAAGCAGGTGCTTATGCTGCTGAGCTAAACCCTTGGCCCCAGTAGCCTAATTCTTGAAAGCTTGCTCTGAATGTAGTTTTTCAAAGTTTTTACATTTTAACTGTCATTGTTTATGACTGTTTTGGCTACCTGTTCTACAGTGCATAATGCTGGTTTCATAATGTATCTCTTGTGCTTGTCTTTTTCATGAAACGTTTTTGTCTGTTTTTAAAGGAAGCTTTATATATATATATATATATATATATATATATATATATATTTTTTTTTTTTTTTTTTTTTTTTTTTTTTTTTTTGGTCTTTTTCACTTTTATCGGTACCGGGGATTGAACTGACGACCGCCTGCTTGCAAGGCAGGTACTTATGCCGCTGAGCTAAATCCCCAGCCTCCAGCTTTATATTATTTATGATCTGGGTTGAAAGTTATTTGCTATTAGGGTTTGAAACATTTCATTCATCCCAGGGTATTCTGGCATGTCAGTATTGCGTTGAGAAGCCTGTGTAATAATCATAGGTTTACCTTTATGTGTGATTTTTTGTTTTTCTATGATTGCTTTTTAAATTCTGTTCTGTTTTGGTGTATCTGGCAGTTTAATGAAGATATTCTTGGTCAGGTTTTTTTCATCATAGTTTGACGTTTTGGTAGCTCTTTTACTTGTGTGTTGAATTCTTCTCATATCTGGGACATTTCCTATGATTTCTGTAAACATGTTAATTCCACATGTCATCTTCTAGCTTCCTTGTATCTCTAGTTAGCCTTAGCTTGGTCTTTTTAGTGTCTTCTAGTAACTGTTGGATGGTCTTTTTTTTTTTTTTTTTCTTTTTTTCTTTTTCCTTTTTATTGGTAACCGGGGATTGAACTCACGACTGCCTGCTTGCAAGGCAGGTGCTTATGCTGCTGAGCTAAATCCCCAGCCCCCGGATGGTCTTTTTTTGTCGTCTTTATTTTTTCATGGCTTCTCTGAGTACTTCATAATTTACCATTTTGTTTTCCATTTTTTTTTTTACATTTTTTTTCTTTTTTCTTTTTATCGGTACCGGGGATCAAACTCACGACCACCTGCTTGCAAGGCAGGTGCTTATGCCGCTGAGCTAAATCCCCAGCCCCTTGTCTTCCATTTCAAATACTTGCTCTTCGTATCAGTCATTTTGACAATTTACTAGTTCTATACAGTTTTTATTTCAGGTGTTTCTGTCTGGCATCTTTTTGAGGACTGTAAATCTTTCCTAAATTTGTCATTCATGGTTTGAACCAAAATGAACTTTTGGTTCATTTCCTTTTCTTTATTTTTTTGGTATTGGGGATTGAACTAACAACCTCACACTTGCCAGGCAGGTGCTATACATATCACTAGCCCCAGTTCATTTTTTTGAACTTACCTAATTTATTTATCTTTTCTGTAATCTTTTCATATAGTTTTACTATGTGGTATTTTGCGAGATCTTGGGGATCTTCTGTTGCCTTACTTCCCCATGTTCCTGTGTGAGTGTACACCTGTTTTTATTGCTTATGATCCCCAAAATCCAGATACTAGCATAGAAGAAAAAACCATGTGCCATCTACTATTGCCTTATTTCTCCCCCAAATAAGACCTACCTGGAAAATAAGCCTGAGCATGGTTTTTTTTTAAGGAAGCCTGTAATGTAGACCATATATTGACAGATCCTGGGAGCCATTTGCGAACACTCCTTAACCAGAACTAAGAGGATTGTGATTTTAGTGGAGACAGTTACACCACCTGTACATCGACCTGTTGTACTCCAGGCCACCAGTAGGCAGCAGTGCCACAGCAAAGCCATCACTAGGCTGAGTACCTTCTCCTTCAGGATCTCTCCAAGCTTGGTCTCCCACAATGGAATACAGACCCTATAAACTTCTGGGTCTGATCACAGGCCTCCCAGGGCATTCCTGGAGATCCCTTTTGAGCTCTCTCCTCTCTGAGCTTGTCCCCAGGCTGTCTCTGAAGGAAAACACTCTTCCTGTTGGTGATTTCTTCCTCTCAGTCAGGTGTTGGTTGACACCTCTGTTGCTCTGTATTGAGGAGACCCTAGGAACAGGGACAGTGTCAGCTGGGGGTGTTGCTGTGGAATTCAGATTAACCTTGAACTCACTTTGTAGTCCAGGTTGCCCTTGAGCTTGTGATCATCCTCCTGCCTCAGCTTTCCAGGATTATAGGCATGTGCCACCATGGCTAGCATAATTTGCGCCTGTGGATTTGAATTTCACGGTGGTGGTGGTGGTACTGGGGTTTGAACCCAGGGTCTCACACATGCTATGCAGTTACTCTGCCATTTACATTTCTCTATGGTTAGTGATGTTGAGTATCTTACCTTTTATGTATTAGGCATTTGTGTATCTTTGGAGAATGTTTATTAAGATTCTTTCCCTAGTATTTCAAATTAAGTTTTTAAAATTATTATTGATGGGGCTGGGGATTTAGCTCAGCGGCATAAGCGCCTGCCTTGGAATCAGGCAGTCGTAAGTTCGATCCCCGGTACCGATAAAAAGGAAAAAGACAAAAAAAAAAAAAAAAATTATTATTGACTTGTAAAGAGTTCTTAATGTGTTCTGGACATGAGACCCTTACAGAGATATGTGATGTGCAAATCTTTTCTGTTCTGTTGATTATCTTTTATTTCCCTGGATGATGTCTTTTGAAGCACAAGTTTAAATTTTGATGAAGTTCAAGTTTTCTATTTTTTTTTTTCCTTTGATTGTGGTTTTGGTATCATCTCTAACCTAACTCAGGCTCACAAAGATTTACTGCTGTGTTTTCTTCCAAAAGTTTAGGATTAAAAAAAAGAGTTTTAAGTTCATTTTGGTTCTTACATTTAGGTCTTTGTGTATTATGAGTTAATTTTGGGATATGATGTGAAAAAGGAACTAAGCTTTATTCTGTAGATGTGGGTACCCAGGTTTCCCATATTCTTGGGTTGAAAAGACTGTTTTTCCTCCAATGAAGTTTTTTTGTATCCTTGTTGAAAATCAGTAGACTGGGCTAAAGGTATAGCTCAGTAATACAGTGCTTGCATTAGACCTAGGGTTATTCCTGGCTCTGAGACAAAACAAAACAAAGCACAATCAATTACCTGTGAATGCGAGGATTTATTTCTGGATTCTCAATGTTATCCTATCATTCTACATGATATGTCCTTGACATTGTCTGTAGCTTTGTAATAAGTTTTGAAATTGGAAAGGGTAAGTTCTCAACTTTGTATTTTTTTTTTTTTTTGTCTTTTTTATCGGTACCAGGGATCAAACTCACAACCACACACTTGCAAGGCAGGTGGTTATGCCACTGAGCTAAATCCCTAGCACTCAACTTTGTATTTTTTAAAGATGGCTTTGGCCATTCTGAGTCTCTTGAATTTCCAAATGAATTTAGGATCAGCTTCTCTTTCTTGCTCTCTCTCTTTTTTTTTAAAGAAATTAGGATTGTTTGTTTTTTGTTTTTCGAGGCAGGGTCTTGCTATACACATAGTTCTGGTTGATCTTGAAGTCATTTGTAGCCCAGGCTAGCCTCAAACCTGTGGCAGTCCTCTTGCCTCAGTCTCCCAAATGCTAAGATTATATGCTACCATGCCTGGCCCTTTTTGATGGTCTTTATAAACGAGAGTGTATCTTCTCAGTTTTATTTTAAGAGATCATTCATTTTAATAGGAATACAACTAATTTTATATATAGTGTTATGTTTTTTGAGAGAATTTCTTAAATGTTGGACAGAATTTATCAGTGAAGCCAGCTAAGCTTGGGCTTTTCTTTGTGGTAGGGCTTTTTATGTTATTTTCCCCTAATTCAATGTATAAACTTTTGTAGCCTTTGAATTTTTCCAGTAGCATTTAGATCTTCCAGTAAGACATTAAAATTTTTGACAGAGCACAAGCTTTGGAAAATTGACAGACCTAGGTTCAAATTCCATCCCTGGAGCTTCTGCTTGAATCTCTGAATCTTAAGTGTCCCTCCTTGAAAAGAGGGCAGCAGTGCAGTATTGTAAAGCTGATAGCCCAGGTTTGTCATGCAGAGAGCTTACAGCTGGGCCTCAGTACCAGGCCCTGGGTAGTTTTTTTTTTTTTTGAATGAGGAATCCAGCTCAGGACCTCGAGTTTGCCAAGCAGGTGCAATGCTACTGAGCTATATCCCTGGCCATTTTGGGTTTTTTGTTGGGGGGAGGGAGGGTTTCTTTATAGAGTCCAGGCTGGCCTTGAACTCACTGCCTCAGGCTTTTCAGTGTTGGGATTACAGGCATGTGCCACCATGCCTGGCCCTAGGTAGCTTTTGAGGAGGCTCTGAAACCTTTTTCTTCTTCCACATTTTTGCAATAGGGTGCTGTGCCGTTCCTGGTCAGTGCCACCTCTGGTACTACTGTCCTGGGGGCATTTGACCCCCTGAATATAATTGCTGATGTGTGCCAGCGCCATGGACTGTGGTTACACGTGGACGTGAGTAGGACCTGGGCCTGGGGGTGAGATGAGCTGAGCCAAGGCCGAGACCTACGTTGTTCCTCCTGCTCCACAGGCTGCCTGGGGTGGGAGCGTCCTGCTGTCACAGACACACAGGCATCTCTTGGATGGGATCCAGAGGTGCATATAGCTCCCTTCTTTCTTCTCCCATCCTCAACCCCTTGATCCTCAGAAGAGTCAAGGACTGTGGGGCTCAGAGTTGGGGTAGAGAAGGTGGGTGGGGTGGTGGGCCCAGGCTGGGAGATGTATTTGACTGGGGCTTGGAGGTCAGATGGGGGTGGGGTGAGATCCCCTGCTGGGTGTCTGAAAGAGGACGAGGGCAGTGGGAGGAGGAGCCTCTGACCTGGCACTGCTCTGCCTCACCAGGGCAAACTCCGTGGCCTGGAACCCCCACAAGCTCCTAGGCGCAGGTCTGCAGTGCTCTGTTCTTCTTCTCCAGGACACCTCGGTGGGTCTGCCCTGCCTCTGCCCAGCCCCAGCCTACCTCTGTCTCTGGAAGCCTGTCTTCTTCCCTAACCCGCTTAGAGGGCATCCAGGCCATACTGTATTCCCTTTGCCATCCCATCCCTAACCCCTGCACAGGCTCCCTCACTCTCCCAGTGGCCTGGCCTCTCCACACAAAGGAAAAGGCTTCTGTCTTGAAGCTGTGGCCCAGTTCAGGAAAGAGCTGTGGGTGCTTGGCTCTGCAGAGGGAAAGGGTGGGCCAGGCTGAGACCCCCCTCTAATGCCCTGTGTGTGCTGGGAGAGCCATGGAGAGTAGTGAGGCCAGGGTTTGACAGTTGCCTGCTCTCCCACAGAACCTCCTCAAGCGCTGCCACGGGTCCCAGGCCAGCTACCTTTTCCAGCAGGACAAGTTCTATGACGTGGCTCTGGATACTGGGGACAAGGTGGTGCAGTGTGGCCGCCATGTGGACTGTCTGAAGCTGTGGCTCCTATGGAAGGCACAGGGCGGGCAAGGGCTGGAGCGGCGGATTGACCGGGCTTTTGCCCTTGCCCAGTAGGTGTGGGGTCCCAGTTCCCCCCTCTCAGAGACCACGCCTCGCCTTGCCTGCCCTGAGGGTCACCTTCCTCTTGGTGTCCCTGCCTTTCATTCATCTGTCATGTGTCTCCTCTGACCCCAGGTACCTGGTGGAGGAAATCAAGAAGCGGAAAGGATTTGAATTGGTCATAGAGGTACGACCATAGGCTCTTTTGCATCTCCTGCCCAGGCCAACACCATACAATGAATCCAGGTGGAGCAAAGGGAACATGTGAGGAAAAGTGTTTCCCTCTGCTGACATCTTACCTTGTCTCATTTCCCTTAGCCTGAGTTTGTCAACGTGTGCTTCTGGTTCGTGCCTCCCAGCCTTCGGGGAAAGCAGGAGAGTCCTGATTACAGCCAAAGACTGTCTCAGGTAAGTCTCTCCTCCCAGCTCCTTTGAGAGCTGGTTCAGTAACTGATAGAGCTGGTGCTTTTCTGCCCCCTGCTGGCCTTGACTGGTATGGCAGGTCCTTGCACAGATCTCTGGTTCCTAAAGTGGCATCAGCTGGAAGACAACAGTTTGTCCTTTTTTGTGAGGGGAGGGACAGGGAGCAAGATGTATCTCTTTAAGAGAGAACAAAGGAAATGTTACAGGAGTGAGAGAAGTCACTAGGTGGAGAAAAAAGACTCCTGTGCTGCGAGTTGTCCTGGGACAGTGCTGACAAACCTGTGGCATGCGTGCTGCAGCAGGCTGTTTGTATCATTGAAAGCTCTAAAATGTTGGCCGTCACTGGCCTTGGAGCTCAGGCTCAGTGAAGAGATGAGAGGTATAAAAAATCAGGAAGACCTCTGTCACTGGCGCTGGAGAGGTTACTCTGTCCTCGGACACACTTGCTATAAAAGGAGGTGTCGTGTTTTGGTCGCAAGATTGGATTGATACTAGGTGCTGTGGATGACCAGAAAGGATAAGTATTCTGGCCCTTGTGCAGATGTATATAGAAAGCAAGAGTTACCTTTTTTGGTTTTTAATTTTACTGGCACATATTTGCAGTACAGTGGTTATGTTCATCGCAGGGAGTTGGTACGCGTCCATAACATCTAATTCTTCTTGCTTCCCCTCCCCCTCCTTCCCCTCCTCAGAGAGTTATCTGTTTGAAGCCAGTGAGCTCAAGGCAATTTTGGAAATTACCTGCTAGATCAGACTTCACAGATCAAAAATACTACAGGAATTAAAAGAGAGGAGAAGGTGTTTGAGATGATTAGGACTTGTAGTTACAATTGAAGTAGTGTTGGGAATCAGAAGATGGCCCCTGCCATGGTTTTTTGGGAATAGGAGAAATGAAGAGTAAAGCAGAAGGCAGAGAAGGCCCAGCAGGTTGGATGTGGTAGAGAAAGTAAGCTGGGACAAGGTGACAGTCTGAGCAGAGTGCTACCTCAGAGAGCAGAGGGCAGGCGGGCAAACAGATCTGGGAGCACCCCTTCCCCACCCGCGCTCTGGCTGCAGCTGAACTCTGCCTCTCCCTCAGGTGGCCCCTGTACTCAAGGAGCGCATGGTGAAGAAGGGCTCCATGATGATCGGCTACCAGCCCCATGGCACCCGGGGCAACTTCTTCCGCATGATCGTGGCCAACCCCATGCTGACCCGTGCCGACATAGACTTCCTCCTCGACGAGCTGGAGAGGCTTGGCCAAGACCTGTGAGCCTTCGCCCTCTTGTGGCTGCCTAGATGCCATCCCCGCCCCAAGTCTGCACTGTCTCTTGTGCTTTCCAAATAGCCTTTCTAGGAAACAAAGTGGCCTTAACCATGTTTACATGCTTTGACCCTCTAACTCTCTTAACTAAACAGTTGTTATTAGGAGGATGTTTAAACTATAGTATATAATTATGATGGACTGTTACTCTTTCATTGAGATATTTACAAACAGAATTTTTATTGATAGAAGAAAAATTAATATAATGTTATATGGAAAAAGCCAAATATAAGACTTTATATATAGTGATAATGGAGATATATTAAAAACATAGACAGGGACAGGTGTAGTGGCACACAACTGTAATTCTAGCCTTGGAAAGGCCAAGGATTTGCGCAAGACCCTGTCTCCAAAAACTATGAACTGTGCCAAAATTTTAACAGTTTTCCCTGAGTGGGATAATAGGCAATTTTAAAATCTATTTCTCTATATCTTTTGTGCTCCTCTCTTTTGATATGTAAGGAATATGAATTACTTTGTAATAGGAAAATAATAAAGTTAAAATTTCAAATATTTTACTTTGGTGTATCTTGAAGTTCATTACTCTCAGACCAAATAATGGATAACTTTACTATTTAAATTTTTTTTTATGGTACTGGGCATCAAATTCATGAACTTGCATCTGCCAGGCAGGCACTTACGCCACTGAGCTAAATCCCCAGCCCCAAACTTTATTTTTAAAAAATGAACAAAAAACAGGTAAGAGAGGATAAATACAGCTATAATTTTGTTTTCCAGAAATCTTTAGTGAGCGATAAAAAGTCCAAAAGTACAGTCTCAAACTAATCATACTTTGGTGACATTGAAAACAAAATGGATGGGGCTGGGGATTTAGCTCAGCAGCATAAGCGCCTGCCTTGCAAGCAGGCAGTCGTGAGTTCGATCCCCAGTACTGATAAAAAGGAAAAAGACCAAAAAAAAAAAAAAAGAAAAAAAGAAAACAAAATGGACACAGATTAAATCTTTAAACCAGATCCTTGTTCATGCACTTACACTCTAGAAAATAAAATCCTTACCCCTTACCAAAAAACAGGTTGTTTAGTAACTTAAACAACAGAAGGCAAATTTGAAAAAAAAAAAAAAACAGCAGCGACAACATATGATAATCAAATCACCATTCAGTCCTCTGGGATTGCTGCTGTTTTGCCTGAAAACATTCACGAAGGGGTGGGATGTGGCTCAGCGGTAGAGCTCTTGCCTCACATTCCTGAGGCCCTGGGTTCAGTCTCTAGCACGCCCCTCCCCAGATCCCAAAGCAACATAATTCCTATCCACGTTACACTTAAAATCCAGCCTGTTATACTTCTCCGTCACTTTTGGGGAAAGAGGAATTTAGCTACACAGGCTACTATGAACAAGTGGCAAATCTACCAGAACTTTTTGTTTTTTCCAATCCCTAAAAATATCGTTCGTGAAAACAGTAATGTGGTCATGTAAAAGTCATCCAAAATTACTTGAAGAGGCAAATACAAGCTGTGCAAATCATAGCAAAGGAACATCCAAATCTCAGGCACAGTTCTCTTGATCATTTGCACAGCAGCAGCGGGAGGGGGAACTTTCCATTAATAAATTCCTAGTAATTCCCCAGTAAACTTGTGTTTTTTTTTTTTTTTTTGGTCCTGAGTATTAAACAGGGAGCCATGAACATGCTAGGCAAGTGTTGTGCCACTGAGCTATACTCCTAATCCCCGGAGCCTAGTCTGAAAGAATTCTGTGTGCCTGCAAAATGTCTCAAATGTAGTTAAAAAAAAAAAAAAAAAAAAAAAAAAACAACAACAAAAAAGAGGGATTCTGGTTTTTTTAACTTAAAGCTATGAAATCAAAATTTTCAGGTTTGTGCTTCATCTGTACTTGAAAAATATTTTTAAGAGCAGGTCGGGGCTGGGGATTTAGCTCAGTGGCATAAGCGCCTGCCTTGCAAGCAGGCAGTCGTGAGTTCAATCCCCGGTACCGATTAAAAAAAAAAAAAAAAAAGAGCAGGTCAGAAGAATAAGACACACAATCGATTAATCTACATTTTAAAAAACTTCATAAAACCGGTGCTGCTTCTCCTGATCCCAAATGATCCCAAATTCCAGTTTCATATCTCTCTACCCACTTCCTGGTGTAGAGCTCCTGGTGTGCACGGCTCTGTCCTGCCATCTTATGTCAGTCATCCCTTAGCGGAGTGATGTCCCTGCTCCAGGGTCTTGCACATCTGGTTCCTTTTGCCTCTGTGTTCCTTCATCTTCTACCTTTAGGTTTTTGTTTGGATGTCACCTCCTCTGTGAAGGCTTCCTTGACTACTTAAAATTACATTTTCAGATAAGGGATATAGCTCAGCGGCATAGCGCCTACCTGTCAAACACAAAGCCCTGAGTTTTATCCCTAGTACCAAAAACCAAAATGAAACAAAAATTACATTTGAATCTCTTGTTCTTGCATGTCCTATATCCTTATCTTCCTACTTTTTCTTCATAAAATGTGTGGGATTTGTCCTACTTTAATTTTTTTGGTACTGGGACTGAACTCACAACTTTGTGTTTACCAAGTAGGCACTTACGCTGCTGAGCTAAAGCCCCAGCCCTGGCCTACTTTAATTTTTGTTAGTTTTACATTTTCCGTGTCACTCAGTGAGACTGCAAGCTCTCAGAGCAGAGGTTTGTATTGCCCCCCCCCCCCCCGCCATGGTGCTTAATGCTTCCCATGGGGTACTGGTACATGATCTCTAGGTACTAGTTAACTTGCTTTTAGTCATGTAACTTTTAAGTGATGGAATCAGGAATTAAAGTCAGACCTTACCCTGGTTCTTAGCCTTGGAGGTAGCCTGCTTCTGTTAACAGGTGTACATAATTTGCAGGTGTTAAGTGTTAGGACTGCTTTACTCACCATAGATATGAAAATGATCGAAAAGGAATAAGCTAGTTAGGAGATTCTGACATACTCTTAGGAGTTCTTAATTACCCTAGGTCTTCACTTACCTATTTCTCCTCGTTTATGTACCTTTAAAAACTGGGGCTGGGGATTTAGCTTAGCAGTATAAGTGCCTGCTTTGCAAGTACATGGTCGTGAGTTTGATCCCTGGTACCAGTTAAAAAAAATTTATAATTTCAGAGCCAGGTGTGGTAGTGCACACCTGTAATCCTAGCATTTGAGAGACTGAGACAGGAGGATCACTGTGAGTTTGAGGCCAGCCTGGACTGCATAGCAAGGCCCTGTCTCAAAACAAAACAAAAAACTATACTTTCAAACTTATAGAAATATTGCAACAACAGGTAGAGTCCTGCCATATACTTTGTCCAGACGTACTAATTTTCACATCTTGACTATATTCATTTTTAAAAATTCTTTGAGGCATATTGCCCAAGTACAAGAATATTCTGTTATATAATCACGATACAATTATCAAAATCAAGAAATTTTTTTTAATCAAGAAATTTAACATTGACTTTCTAAGTTCTATGTTCTAGAATTGTGAATTTTATCTTCCAGTTGAAACCTCACCCAGCATCACAGATTGGATTTTATTGCATTTTAGATCAATCCTTTAAAATAGTTCTGCAGGGGCTGGGGATGTAGATCAGTGGTAGAGCTCTTGCCTTCCATTCATAAGGTTCTGGGTTTGATCCCCAGCACAAAACAAAAATTAAAAAAAAAAAAAAAAAAAAGAGTTCCCCAGGCAGACTTTGTTATTTAATAACATTGGCATGAAAAATACAGACTAGTTAGTTATGTTATAGAATGTTTATCAATCTGGTTTTTTCTGGTTGTTTCCATATGACTAGAGCTGGGTTATGTATTCTGTGTTATAGTTTGGCATATGGTATATGCTATATTGTATTTTCTTGTTTCCCTTCTTTTTTTTGTTTCGAGACAAGGTCTCTTGTGTAGTCCAAGTTAGCCTTGAACTTGCAGCAATCCTCCTGCCTCAGCCTGCCCAGTGCTAGGACTACAGAAAAGCAGCATCATTTTAGTTTCATGAGAAAAGGCCAAAACAGTCCCTTGCTCTTATTAGTGGTGTTAATTTTTTTTTAAAGAGATCTCTTTATGTAGTCCAGGCTGGCCTTAAACTTGCAGTGAACCTCATGCTTTGGCCTCCCGAGTGCTGGGATTACAGGTGGTTTTTTTTTTTTTTTTGAGACAAGGTCTTGCTAAACTGTCCAAGCTGGTCTCCAACTCATAGGCTGTCCCAGCCTCCCAAGTGCTGGGACTGCAAGTGTGAGCCATTGCATCAAGCTAGTATTAATTCTGGTCAAGATCAAATGGGTCAAATGGATCAAATTTTGGTCAAGATTATATCTGGGTATGATGACATATTCCTGTAACCCCAACACTTAGAAGTCTGAGGCAGGAGAATTGGTGCAAGTTCAAGGCCAGCCTGGGCTACAAAGTAAATTCAAGATCAGGCTAAACTGCATAGTAAAATCCCATCTCAAAAAAAACAAAAAAAGAAAAAAAAAAAAAAAGAGCATTCCTTTCTCCTTACTAAGTCATCGACTTACTATTTGTATGGGTCCTTGTTTTATTCAATAAATTATGGTTTTCTGTCCTTAGTTTTATACTCAGCTTTCCTAGTTTTTACAGTGTTTGCAGATTGTTTTTAATCTGCCTTTCTTATCCTTTTGACATGACTTATTATTTATTTTATTTTCTTAGAACTACTTTAATTCCTGGAAAAACACAAATACTCCAGGCTTATTTTGTACTTTTTCTGCCCCCGTTAAGAAACTACCCATCTCCTGAAGGAGCCTGATTGATTCCTTTCAGTACAAGAGTACTTAGAAACCAGAGTGGAGATGCCAGGTGTGTTCATTATTACTGCTTATGTAGCACTTTGAAAATATAATGAGTATTCTTTTGGATCTCCTAATCCTTCTTAATTGTGCTAAAAAGGGTCGGGGCTTTATTTTTACTTTTTGCTTTTTGAGACATGCAGTTCAGGCTGGTCATGAGCTCACTACATAGCCAAGGCTGACCTCAAACTCATGGCGATCCTCCTGCCTCAGCCTCCCAAGTGCTGGCATTACAGGTGTAAGCCACCACACCCAGCCAAGGGTTAGAGCTTTAAAAGGACAAAGGATCTGCCCAGAACATTGGGCAAGGATGAATGATAAAAGCTATGGAGGGAGGTAGGGGATGAAGTACAGTGCTGGGGCCTGGTTGACTTACCTTCCTTTTTGAGAGTAAAATATTGAGAAGCATCAAGGTTGAGTTTTGCATAACAATAGTAATGTTCTTACAACCCCGGGTTTAGCATTACAATGACAAGTTTCATAGAATTATAGCTCTTGGAGTTGAATTGCCAGACAAGTACTCACTGGGTGTAACCTTGGCCTTCACGCTGACTTGTTGATCTGTATTTTTTGCAAAACAGGCAGCCAAGACTGGGCAAAAGCTGAGGGTCTGACAGGGTCACAAGCATCTGTCTCTTAAGCAGAAGGTATGTTTTACTATAAAACAGTCATTTACCTGTAGAAGCCACCATGTCTTTAATTTCACCCACAAATGCAATCATTCTGTTGCTTTCTTTTCAAGAGCA